CTCCTGTGCTTTTCATCCAACAATAGCTCCTTGTTTGTCCTTCAAGGAATTATCATCATTCTGATGAAGAAGTCAGGGGATTTCCAGCCCATATTCAGTTCAATCCTTCCCAAAACTGGGACATTTTTAGATCTCTTCCCAAACTGTATTATTTCTCCAAATAAATTCCCCAGTAGTTTCACTTCTGAAATCTGGTAATCCTGTAATTCAGGTTTTACAATCCTAAATTCAAGTGTTTCATTCCTTTGTTACAGAGGATTTTGCACCATGTAAGGACCAAAAAACAAAACAAACAAACAAACAAAGTCAAAAAACACATCACAAACTAAAAACCAAACCAAACAAACAAAAAAACCAAAACAAAAAAACCCAAACCCAACCAAACCAAAACACACAAAATAACCAACCACCAAATATTATTAACCTCCAAAGCAACCCTCCAAGTTATATCTGATATCCTAACCCCCTTAGAGCATAGTGTGGACTGGGGACTTGATACAGGGATCATGCTTGAAGCTACAGTTGCACCTTGGAGAGACAAAGGGCAGAAAACGCTTTGCTTCTTTACCGCAGCTGCTGACCCCTTTCTTCCAAAAACTCCCTGGAGCCATTTCAGGAGTTGCTCACCTGTATGCCCTTCGTTGTCTGATCACTGGCCCAGAGCTATTTAGAGGTGAGCTCTGTTTCTCACACAAATCTCAAGTCAGCAGATAAGAGTACTTGTCAGCTGAGTCATTTCTGCCAGCTTTGCATTAAGTACCATGGCTGGAGGGGATGTGTGGCAGAATTTAGGCCAAGTAGGAGGGCAAAAACTCAGCATCACTCAACAGCAAACTCCCTGCCATCGGGTCAAAAAAGCAGGCAAGAGTTCAAATAAGAGCATGTCATAGCTGCATGCAAGAGGTCCTGGCTCTCCCCATAGCCTCAGAACCAGAAGGACCTACACTGGCATGAGGGTAACCTGAGGTGGCACTTACACAACCTGATGAGATGCCCACAGCACGACAGAGAGAAGACAGGAAAGTCAAATTACTCACAGAACCACACTGTACATTCAAAATTGCAGCTTGCATCATGTTAACTGCAAATCTTATGCAGAAAAAAATACGGAGGGAGGAAGAAGAAAGAATGAATAGCAAGATAATGTGCATTAAAATAAACTCTCAGGACAGGGAGAGCAGAAAAGGTGGATATTCAAGAGACTGTCTGGTCTCATTACCAAACACATTTTCTTTTCCTCATTTGAATGTGTAACCAAACAATGGCTACAAGATCACTCCAGGGCAGCCCCAGGGTTTCTGTCAGCTCAGAGGCCCAGGGTCCTGATGCTGCAAAGGGGCAACACAAAGAAATCGTGAAGTGTTCCCTGGAACAACCATCCTCATTTTCCTATCTGTCTGATTGCAATTGCTAAAAAATGAGTAATTGCACCTCACCCTTTGAAAAAATTACTAAACTACTCCTAAAGACACACCCCACTTGAAAATAATGCAACAGATCTGAGGATCCTCACCTCTCTGAAATTCAGATTCAGGATTTTGTTCAGGCACATTCTAGAGATATGGTGGTGTCAGTGATAAAGCAGCAATATTGGTTCTTCAAATATGCCTCCTCAAGGCTCGGGGGCAACTTGAGGTAAAAAATCCAAGCTCATTTGAAAACTGCTGGGAGGTTACAAAGATTTCAAAGCCATGCAAAATTCAGCATCAAGCATAGGCAAGCTACTACCCAGAAAAGCAACCTTCAAAACATGCTGCAATTTCGAAGGGCTTGTAGACTGTGCTTGCATTGGACATCTTCCTAAGAGTCTCCAGTGAGAGAGGGGAACATCAGCACTGAAGACAGCAGGAAAGACAGACACCAGGAAAACACATGCACAAGGCAAGGTCCCTGCAGCCAGGTCCTGCCTGCGAATCTGGGCAGCTGACATTACAGATGTCTTCCCGTTGTCCTGTTGCTAAGAATGGCTGTTCTGAGAAGACAAATTGAGACAGGTCAGTGGGTACACACAAAACACTGCTCAGACACCTAGAAATATACTGGGTCAATGAACTACATCAAGACATGGGGCTGAGTTACTGGTCACCATTTAAGAGATCAAATTGGTGCCGTGTCAATAAACAAACAGTAAAGGAGATGGCAGAAATCCTTAGCAGCCCCTTCCATCTCTTCCCTTTGCTGTTTCTTCTCTTCTGCCCCAATTCTGAGCCTTGGTACCAAGCCCCCAGGCTTCAAAGCAGCACAGCAGCAAGGATCTCTGGAAGGAATCAGTGGTGGGGTCAGTTTTCTCTGGATACATGACTGCCTGTTCCAGGGAGGAGGGAGAAGGCAGGGTGAAGGCAAGAGCTCTGTATCAGCAATCAAAAACCCACATCAGCCCCCAGGGCATAAAAGCCTGAAAAGTTTCCTGATAACATAAGGCAGAGCCTAAAACAAACAATGCTGTGGTATTCCTGCCTGGCAGGCACAAATTCTCTCCATCACCTCCAAGCTTCCAGAGCTCCCATCAAAACAATTACATTATAAAAACTGCTGAAACCAGAGCTTTTCAAGGAGGCCAGTCACGAAGTCACTGCACAACAAAATAGTAAGCAGGGAGTGTTGCAGAGGTGGGAACCCTTCTTCCTGTGGTGGCTGCATATTGGCGTGTATTAAACATAGACACAACAATAAGCAATAAATCACAGCCCAGGAGAAGTGCCAGGTGGAATGCACTGGAGGAAATTAAAATATCCTTCTTGATACTGTTCAGTATTGAAAGAAGTACAAAGGAGGTCAAGTTGACTTATCACCTACAGAGCCAGGATGCTAAGGGGAGAAAGGGTTTCAACATTTGCAGTGAAAAATTTGAAGTTGAATAATTTCCTACCAAAAAAACCCAAAAAACCAAAACCAAACCTTAGCTTTAAATATGATAATAATATCACAAACATCCTTTCAAACAAATAAATAAATAATGACCTTCCTTGGCTTTCCTGTGTTTTCTTCTTTTTTCCTCCTTTTTTCAAATGCACAGTCCCTCCACAAGACTCACCCATAGGGTGCACATAAATACACTAGCTGGCCAGCACCCAAATTCAGCACGTTCCTCCCACATCTCATCCCACCATACTGTCAGGAGACCCTATCTTGGGTACTTTGGTATTGTTCAATGACTCGCTTATATTGCCTAGAAGTATCATCATGAAACTAGGCAGTGGAGGCAAAATTTTGAGTCTGCATGCCCTAAAGAACTGGACTGCTTTCTTATTTCACTGAAAAGTGCCCCCAGAAAGTTTGTTTTGGAAAAAAACCCAGCATTGGTACACAAGCTTCCCAGTAATTTCAGTAAGGACTTATTGCTATGCAATGCATAAAACTGAGGCTGCTTTTGGTCACCAGCAGGCAAGGGAAGGTTTTTGTTTTGCTGAGATAAGCTTCTACAAGCAGGGGGCTGCTCTGCAGCCTCCAGGTCCTAAATATATTGCTACTGTGAGGCACCCCCACGCGTCTGCTCTCCAGGCACTGCTTTTTCCCTGCTTGCTCCTTTTTAAGGCAATTCAGCAAACCTCCACCATTTGAGCTTTAACGGAAGTGTCACACAAAGCATTCAGGCAGGCTGAAAATGGGACACCAGCTATAAATTACCAGAAAGCTGAACTCAAGATTAGCAAAAGAAAGAGGAGGAAGGACTCGTTTGTCTTGAAACTGGATCACATAAATGTATACACACATAAATATTCTCAACCTGAAACTCTGCAGGACAGCCCAAAGAGGACAGCTGTCATGTTCTACCTTTTAACATCTCTGCTTTTAAGGGCTGAGGACAGGATGGCATATTCCAGCTGTGGTTCTCTTTCTCTTACTAAACACTTCTGTGCCCATCTCTTTGTATAAGCAACTAAACCTTTACACATTAAAGACTTCTGTGTCAAGCTTCAGTAATGACCAAGTTATATTTTCTGGAAGGGATAATTAAGAGGTTCAGTGAAAATAGAGAGTGCTGTCATTTTTATATTTAGACATGCATGAATTTAGTACAAGCTGATAAACTCTACTTGCTGAAAATAAAATTATGGTGACATTTTCTATATCAGGGTGTTTTTTTTGGCAAAAGAACAGGGACATCTTGCAGTAGGCCATGGAAGAGGGAATCTGTTTAGAGGTTGCTAACAAAATCCTTCCTCTAGTCTAGCACAGTTTCACACAAAACTCTCATCAAGGAAAGCAAGGAGAGGAGAAGGAGAACTATTTTCAAGAGATGTAAACAAGCAGTTGCCTGCTGCAGACCACACTACACACTCAGTGAGGTTATTTGCGCATCTGTCTCAATCAATTGGTATCAGACTCTTTCACCTGCTTAAATGGAGGGGTGCCATTTGGATGCAAAAACCTTTTCCACACACTTCTGGGTGGAAAACTGCTCTGGAACCAGGGCTGACAATTAAAAAATGGCATTTTTCCTACTCCCTCTAAAAGGTACAATCAAGGCACAGAATCTCTCCAGGTGTAAGAGGTGTCACACATAGTTGAGATGAGCTATTGATTTCCAAAAGCAATAACAAGCTGCCACACAGCCCAGCCCTGCCTCATCATATATTTGAGAGGTGATCACTCAGATAAGCAAGAAAAGGCTGGCTGCAACCCAAATTCAGAAACCTTCAGCCCTACTGCCAACAAGAACCACCAGCAAAACACATGGACTTAATAAAAGCAACACTGAAATATCAAGTTTTTTTAAAAAAAAATATTTTAAGCATACAATTAATTGGTAAATATACAATTGGTAAACATATAATAATTTCTGATGAGGACTAATAAATATTTACCAAAAAAATATTTGTTATCCTCATTGCTCCTGTCGTGAATGTATCTGTCAGGAGATGCACTTCAATAGTGTCTTTTGTCACTTAGTGATGAAAAAAAAAGTCTTCTGAACTGAATCAGACTGGAATATGTTTCCCTGGTGCTTCCCTTTATAACCTGAAGTGGGATTTATCAAGAGCTGTAAATTTACTTACCCTTCTGTTCTGTACATGGAGCATCTCTCCAGAGGAATTTTTAGCACTCCATTATTTAAGCCCACAAAGAGCGACCTGTCGCTGTGCAGGATTTGGAGACTCTTGATTGCTTCCCGTTGTCCATCAGGGAGGATCTGCATTTCCTCTAAATAACAACTCCTTAGGCTCCTGTTAGTGGTAGAAAGGGCCTTCAAGATGGTGCCATACTCTAATAGAACAAGAAACAATGCACAAGTAAATCTTAGAGGCACTGACTTCATTTCATAGCTGCCTAAAGAGTGAAATATTGATATCATCTTTACGAAGCTGCTTAAACCTAGTTCTGGGTCACCTGCTGCCCATGGTAGAGAGTGGGAGCCACATCATTACAATACTCAGCAGAAACCACCTGAGAATGCATTTTAATGGGAACTCAGAAGGATGTGAACCATCTGGAGAGTGAGCACCTGGCAATATTTCCCAGCTGGAGCATTGAAGCAGAGGAGTCTGGTCCCATTACCTGTGAGTTACATAGCAAGGTGACCTAAGATAGCAGGGATCATTTCTGGTGCCTTGAGTCTGTATTTCTATTGGTTTATGGAGCAGATCAGTGTGCTTTGATGCCATGACAAACGACAACAGATGCAGCAGCCCTGCTGGAAATCCCTGAGGCCTCTGTAATGACTGCATGGGTCATGGACCTAATTGATCCTCTTCCTGGCAGAAGCAATCCTGCCAGCTTGACAAGGGGATGAGCAGCACATACACACAGACATACATGTTTGTGTTCACAGTGCTCTTAACAAAGCAATTTAAAGATTTGCTAAACTGTGGGAGGTTAATTCTGAGGAAAAGGGGTAACCACAACATTTTTCATTAAAACCCCAAGAGGTCTGTCAACGCTGATTGTTCCTGAAGCTTAATCTTTCTGTCCTGATAACTTCTGCATTGGTGCCAAACCTTAGCAATTTTCAGTGGTGGGGTTGGCTGCCACGTGAAATTTCTCTTTCACTTAGAAGGGCCTTATGTGTGGAACAAGACTGAAACCCAACTCTAGGCTTGGTTTGTCTCAGGACTGGCTCTGTGTTCAGGGCTGCCTCTGGGCAGGGCTGTTTCTACTGAAGGATTTCACTGGTTTAAACGTTTCCAGCAGACCTTACTCATCAGTCACCACCAACCAGGGCCAGAAAGCAAACTCAAATAAGGAGGTAGGGTTATGGCAGTGGACCTTTCTGCACTAATGATATGAAGCAGAAAGTATTTAATCTTTCTCTCAGGCTTTGTAGCTTGGACTCCTCACTTTATATATCAAGATATCAAAATGGCAGAACCATGTTGTATTTCCATTTAAGTACAGTCTTCTCATCATAATCAATGTCTGTGGAGGCTTCCACAGTGAGAGTGTTGCTAGAACACATCCAAGATGATCACTTTGAAATAAGTGGTGGTAAAAGTTAGATAAATTATGACAGTCCTGAAGGTCCATTCTCCTAAACATGAGAATGAGGCAATGACTCTGCATTCAGATGTGAGATTAAACTAACACTTATGGAGGCAATCCATCTTATTCTAAAGTCAAAGCTTCTGCAATAGTGGATAACAACATTATACCCATGAGGTTGGCCATATGCTCTGATTAATCAAACTATTTAATTTAACCTCTATCATTAGTATGAATATGGGCTAAGACAACCATTTATAACACTTTGTCCTTCTTCAGTCTCTTCCATTTATCCAAGATATCTGTGCTTTTCAGAAGAGGCAATGTGTCCTGCTAATCAGAGGATGGCAGTTGAAATCAAGAGACTAAATCATATACTTAATTCTACCACCGGCTTGCTGTGCTGCCACAAAAAAAGCACTTGCCTCAGCTTCCCTATCTGCATTACACTTCAGTGCATGCCCCTTCCCGAAAACACTGGGAGTCATACACCAGTACCTACGTGGAAGTGCAGAGAAAGACAATTAAAACCCTGGGCAAGCCTGGAGGCTAAGCATTATTATTGCTTACTCAGAGATCAGTATGTCATAGCACAGAGAAGCAACTTTGAGGCGTGAAACCACAGAGCATTCCAGCGACCTCTGCTCCTCCCCACTGTTATGTATTAGCCTGAGTAGTTGAAACATGTTTTTATAAGATGGAGAGAAATGTTATTGTTGTTTTTAAACACAATGTAGATTTATGGTCTGATCATTTGGGACTGTGCCTCAAGTCCTCCATCCTGCTTTTAATTTACTCAGGCAAACTAACTTCCACGTAGTTCTGTGCCAAAATCATATTGAATGACAACTGGGTAAGGACATCATGACTGGGCTCCCAGGGCTGCTAGGTCTACAGGCAAGTGGGGGGGAACTGTCTCAAGCCCTGATGCTCTTACCTGTTCCAATATACATCACGTGGTAGAGGGTATCCTTCCCCTGAACAATATCAACCACCAGTTTGGAGAATCGAATGCTGTCCTGAGTCACATACGGATCTACAGTCACCGGCTGCACGACATCATTCATCAGGAACAGGCGCTGTGCATCCTGCAGGACTCTCTCCGTCAGGTTCTCATTAGGGCTGTCATCATTCAGCGTCCCACACTAAATATGGAAGACTGAACTTCAGAAAATGCATTTTCTCCCCACTCCAGTATGCAAACTTGTGTCATGTAGATTTCTGGGAGGGTGGCTCTGTGTAAGAGTCACAGAATCAGGCCCATAGCCCGATCATAGGTCCTTAGCCTAGATTTGGCCTTTAACCCATTTTTTAAAAATGCTTCTCCCAGCTGGTCCACTGACCAGCAATGTGGAGTTTCATTCCCTTGTGATGCCCTCGGGCAGCACACCAGAAGGGCAAGAGGTATTAGCAAACCAGGGAGAAAAAAAAAGAATTAAAACTAGCTGTAGAAAGATTTAAAGGTAGCAGTGGGGAGAAAGTTTTTGTGTTGATAAATCCTTGAGACATTTCAAACAATCTTCAGACTCTACCTGGCATCTCAGTCTGTACAATGAACAAAAGATGGAGTTTAAAAAACCTGAAAATGTATTGGTTTTGCATCAAAGAACCAAACCTGCCACACTGCTTTTATTTGATGTGCTCCCTTCTGAACAGAACCCCCACTTCCATCTGATTCAAGGCAAGTTATTCACTACCTCCTCCCTCCCCACATGCAGCTCTTCTATCCTCATCAAAAGCCATGTCCACCCATCCTCCAGCACCAAGGGGTGCACTGAAATAGAACTCAATTCCTTGTCCAACCAGAAAAGGAGGGAAGAAGAGAACTCATCTTGGGTCTTTCAAACACCAGCATAAGTCCTGCCTGGTGGATCATGCATTTTAAGGCCTGAGTTTCTATCTTACACTAATCTCTAGAATTCAGCATTTTCAAAAGCCAGTGCAAATTTTGTGGTCCATGTCAGCAGCCAGGGCTGAATCTCACTCTTCCCCACAATGTCATGCATGGTGGGCAGAAAATTTATTACTCCAAAAGGCAGCTGGGTGACTGGTTATTTGTCTTGCCCAAGACCATGGGAGTCAGTGGTACAACCAGAAATCCTGGCAACTCCCATACTCAGCACATGAACAACTTCATTTCTCCCTAACTGAGTAACTCACACCTGAGTAATTTCAGTAGAAAAAAAAAAAATCCCACAAATTTATTTTTTTTCAATTTGGGTCCAGGTGTTTGGCCTTTCCTTGGAAGTCAGAATACTGAGAATTAGGATGTTGATTTAAAGCACTCCTGCTACAGTGTACAAATTTCCCATGTACATACCCTTGATGTGCATCAAAGCAACTCTTTGCAGTATGGCTGCCTTTCCCAAGTGCACCACACAGACCTTCTCTTACCACATGCTAAAATGAGTTACCAGGAATTTAGCACACATTTACACAATAAATACAGATCTCAATGTCTGGTGTACTAAGCCCTACAATATTTTGGAGGTTGTGTGAACTAGGAGAACAGAGTTATACCAATTCTCACCACCTATGAATGTGGTCACTTTTTAATCAACTTGAGCACCTTCCTGAGTAGCCAGACTAAAGAAACATCAGTACATTTTTGATGTGTCCTCAGGTGGGTTTTAATGCTTTTTTCTACTGCAAGGGTCTTTTTTTAGTTTGTGACTCATCCCGCATTCCAAAGAGTCTTTAGATCTCTCTCTTCTGCTGTCTCCTATACTCCTCCTGGTTCTCACTACTGTCTTGCTTTGGATGCTTTTCTCCCCACTCACTTTCCTTTCTAGAGCATCACCTAAAAGGAGTCCCAGTGGCAGGAATGTCATTGTTGGTTTTGTTTTCTGTTCTCAACAAGTCACAGATAATCCTTTTGGTCTACTGGCAGATCGTGTGCTGACACAGCATCCCTCTGGTTTGGTTTTATTTTGTATTGTTCTAATTTCCTGATTATCTGCACTGTCCTGATCCTCTGTATCCTTCAGTATTTCTCCTTCCTCTCCGCAAGAAAAAAAATTCTGGCATGCTTCCCTCCTCTTCCTTTGTGAACACCGAGGCAAAAAACTAATTTAATTTTTTTGCAATATCTGCCTCTTCTGTCACTAAATTACCCTTGTCATCTCCCAAAGGCCCCTCACTGACCTCTTGTTCCTTCTGTACTTGAAAAACATCTTAATCTGTTCTTGCAATCTTCCTTTTGTCTGCCACATACCTTCTTTTCCTTTCCGTATTTTCCTCTGACCCTTTTCTTTCATCTTGCTGCTGCAATCTTTACACTCCACATTTTATCTGATACTTCTCACCACATGGAAATGCTTTCCAAAGTCCTTTTCTATTCCTTCTGTGTTATGTGAGGGACAGAAAGTCCTTGATTCTCAGCTAGCCTTAATATTCCCTCTAAACTAAAAACCAAACCAACAGCAACAAAAAAAAACCCCACACAAGACCAAACAAACATACAACACAAACAACAAAAAAGCTTTGCCATGTTTGGCATGGCTCGGCCTTCAGAGTTTTGTTCCTTGGTTTTTGAGTGCACCAAGCTGAGGGGTTGACCAAGAGTCCAAACCTGTCCCACCTTGTACAGGCAGAAGCCCTCAATCAGGTGCCATGAGGGAATTCAGGGGGAGAAATTAGGTTCCTCAGCAGGAAGAAAAGCCTGTCCCTGCCTGCAGCAGAGACATGCCTCCCATCTGCTCTTGCTGTGATCTCAGGTGACTGCAGACTTCCTTTTGGAAGGTCCCTGACATCACCAGCTTGAAGGCAGATGGCACTTGCAGGCAGCCACAGCACCTTTGCCATAGTAAAGGAGAGCCAGATTCATACAATCAGGATGAAAGGATTTACCATGGGGAAGCAAGGACAGGAATATGAGTTCATCCTCCCTAACGTTCCTCAGGTGGAAAGGGACTGAGCTGTAAAATGGGCTCATGCTTCAGAAAACTGACGTTTGCTGGGGCTGTCACACACATACTCTGCACCACACTGACTGGATCTGGGCATAAAGCGATTGAAGTTGGTTTATAATTTTCAAATTTGCTTTAACTGATAATACTGAGAAGTTGCTAATTCATAAAACCACGTATTTTTAAGCTGAGAAGGAACCCCTGTAACAATACTTGTGTTCTCCTCCAGCAGTTACTGTGGCAACAAGTCCATGAATTCTGGCTGAGCTACCATGTCTTAGAAAGTCATCCATCTTCCACTGAAGCACTGGTAGCCTTAGGGGCCCTGTCAAGTGATGGAAAATTCATCACATCCTTCCAGAGTCACAGTGGTTAATTACATTTCTTGTTTAAAAAATATAGGTTGTCTCCATTCTAGTTTGACTTTGTCCAGCTTCAGCTTTCAATCCTTCCCAGCTCTGGTGGGGACATGTCTCTGTGTCCCCTTGTGAGAATCACATTCTCAGAGTACACGTGTCAGTGACAAGTGTAACAGTGATTTAAATTATTCATTACTGTAAAAAATCAGAACATTCTTATCGGTTAAACCATTAAATTTTTGCCATGAATCCCGTGGTCTCAATAACTTGTGGCAAGGAGTTCCGCAGACTAAAACACTCATAAATATGGAGAAATACAATTTATCTGCACTGTGGGTCCACCTGGAAAAATGAGCCCTACACAAATCAACCCAATGAAGTGACAGAACGTAAAAGGGACTGCAGTAAACTGAAGGGCAACAGCAGTACCTGGAAATTAGGGATGGGGTTTAACGTTGGCAGCCAGGCTGATCTTGGGTTTTCTTGGTAACGGAAAGGGCCATTAAACGCCTGAGTAATGGCACTCAGGTTGAAGGCACACACTGCTGAGGCAGCTATGCTGTTTCTGGAAAAGGGGAGGAAAAAAAAATCAATTTAATCATTAGAACATTGACATTTTCATCATAACAGACATCAAACTCCACTCAAATAAAATACATGTAAATTGCTAGGTAGATGTACAGTGATGCCAATCTCTCAGGGAGTATAAATAAATAAATAAATAAATAAACTGTAAAATGCAGATGACTTGCGTGACAATTTTGAGAATGAATTTTAAGTTTGGTTTTAAAATGTCAATGATTTAAGGGCCATGGGAGCAGTTTTGACAAGAAAGGTGAATACAGTTTAATTTGCATGGATTATTTGTGTTTGGTTTTATTTTCATTTTTTTAACAACCCATCCATCTTTATTGATTACAAACAACCGGATTTTTAATCTCTTGGTGTTTCTCAAGGTGAAATTCTGTTTCTACAGGTTCCTGAAATCTTCAGCTATAAAATATATTACATAATATTATATATATAGATATAGATATAGATATATATGCAGGGGAAGGGAAAGAGTGACAGTGAAAACCAGGCTGGTTTTGACAGCAGCTCAGCACACAAAAAGGTCTTGCTAACTCATGAAAGCCTCTGTTTCCAGTGACCACAGTTCACTTCTTTGCGTTCCCAGCTGGGAACAGCATCTGTCTCAGGCAGACTGTTCACCCCGCACACACCAGCCAGGGACACACAGCACACACAGCTAGGAAAATGCTGATGTAGGAAGGACTCTTTGGAAGGAACTTTGTTTTAGGGATGCTCTGCTGCCCAGACAGACTGGCACACAGATCAGTTGGCCTTTGCTGTTCCATTTCAGTCCTGGAGGACCCATTTTTCCAGGGTCCTCAGCCAGCTCAGTGCCTTTTGCCTCAAGGCAGTTGGAGGGCACTTCCTGGATGGTGAAGGCACCTCAGTGAAATTGATCCAAAGAGGGACATTTCATAAATGGTAACCTGAAATTTAAAGCTGCTCCCAGTTCATCCCTTCTCCTCTGCCTTTTTTTTTTTTTTTTCAGGAAAACTACAAGGTTAAGAGAAAAGATATCAGAATAAAACTAAAAATAGGTCTAGCATAAGAGACTGACTCGTCACGGTGCCTTTTAAATAACCCAAGTCCTGCTGTATGTATCTTTCTGCTAATTAAAGCAATTTGAATTCTCTGAAAAGAACACATTTTTTTTTTACTAAACCAATAATTACACTCTCTTGCACACAAAAAAGCCTTTCTCCTCAATCCCAGGCTGGAAAGGCGAAAAGCAGATTCTTTCACAGCATATTTCTTCCAAGCAGTATAACATCAGGAAGAACTTCCTGCTTTGCCTTCCCATTCTCTGCTCTGCCCCTGCCCCTTCCCTCCCCAGAGTGATGGAGTAGCTCACTTTGGACATGTCAAAGCAATGCCAGGCAAACCTTTCTCCACTTTTGTCTGAACACTGCTGACGCAGAGCTCACAGACGGCAGCTCTTAAGACAGAGCTAATGATGGATGGCAAGTAAATGCCTCGAGGCACACACAGAAAAAAAAATGAGAAAGAAAATGAAAAAGGAAAAGAAAGAATAAAATTCCACTAATCTAACAAAAATACATAGGAAAAAACCCCAGATATTTTTAGGGCCTGGCTAAGGACTCCATAGTTTAGCCCTTTCCCTTTGCTGGAAAGGAGAAAGGAAAGAGCTTTTCCATTCAATCTGTGGACTGTTTTCCTTTTCATTTGTGGCCTGGTGTATTTCCCATCCCTCCTTATGAAAAGTTTGATCCCAGTCTCAAGCCAGTGACATCAACTGGTACAGCTGGCTCCTGTGTTTTGCTAGTGTGAAGTGCAACCTCCTTTATTCCCATCTCCTACCTCCTAATGGAGGTAGCTGGTTTAGAGAATAGGTTAAGTTCAAGGAGGTTTTAACGTTATCTCTTTTACCTCCCAGAAAAAATGTAATAAAAACATCTTAAATATTTCATCAGCACCTTCCCCCAAAAGCTCTCTTTCCCACTGATTCAGCTGGGTATAACATAACATGAAGCAATAAATCTATACGTGGGTGTTACCAAAACCACTAATTCCCCTTTGTTAGAAGATGACCTTAAAGTCATTAAACATGAACCTTCCAAAATAAAAAATACCTGCAAACAAAAAATAACATAGTTTTGTGATGCATTGCTATTTTATTGTAAAGAAACTCAGACTGGTGCATACAATAACCCTCTTTGGTATGCAGAGCTCATGCAGCATGATCTAAGTCCCAGTGGAAGTTAAAAGAATAATTACCATTATTTCTCTAGTTAGATGACAAATTGGAATATTTTCTGTTTGAACTCTCAAAAGAACACCATGTTGTAGACCCGAAATGCTATTTGATCTAACTTTAGCTATTATCAATAACTAATTTCTTCAATTACACAAATGTTTCATCTGATATTGTGTCCAGAAGATACAAGATACAAGAGAAGGTTCATCCTTCATGTATGAGAGGTACATCCCTCATGCATGAAGAGTGACTTAAGTGTACTCACAGGAGACAGATAACACTCATCACATCTCATGTTAAACCTAGGGGACAGACACAGCAGAACTGAACTGTTTCAACCACAGCTAGTCTATGTCTTCCCCCTTATAGTCCAAAAACTTCATCAATTTGATAAATAAAATACAGTTATTATTAATTTTCTTATTTCCAACTTTTGTTCTTGGCTGGATGAATGGACAAATGGTTAGATAAAACATTATCACTATGGGCAGAGAAGTCCTCTTAAATTGCAACAAAAAAAAAAAAAAAAAAAAAAAAGAAAAAAAAAAAAAAAAAAAAAAAAAAAGGTCAGTTCAGGAAGTTTGGCTTATGCCCTCTAAATATTTTTAGAGAATGACTCGTGTCTTTCAGTTGGAGAACAGATCTTCCCCAGTGTCCACAGTCAAGGTGCTGTGCTCACTTCATTTTTTTCCAGTTGCTTCTCCACTGGCCCACTTTTGACTGACGTTGGCAATGGTTTTTTTTGTTGGAGCAGAAACAAAACATGAAGATGGATAAGGGTGGCCAAACACCTCCCTATTTCTTGAATTTACGTAGTGGGAATAACATTCGGGCTCTGTTGACTCACAATGAAACTCCCAACAGTGCTTTAGCTCAAGAAGTGGGGCTGATGCTTTGTGACTTCAAGGGCTGAAGTTCAAGCCCTGTCACCCCAGCAGGTGACACATTAAAACAGGAAGGCTTGTGCATCAGCAGGGTTTCACCTCTTTGGTTTACTGTGGGCTTCTTGGGAACAGGCCCTTATTCACACTGGACAGTACCCCATTACACACAAAAACCCCATAGAAGTTGGCTACCCACCATGAGGAAGGCACTTGGAGCATTTGCTGTGGGGAGTAACCATCAGACATTCTCTAGTTTACACATCAGGCTAACACACCCCTGGAGAACATGTATTATTGAAACTCAATACCAGGCAGACTGGCTATAGCTTGAAACTTTCCATCCTAGCCTTGAGCGTCAGTGAAAAAGTTATTTGAGTTTTCCTGACTTAAAAATATACATTATGAGTTTTTTTAATATATTTTTTAATTAACTCCTCTCTTCCTTTCTGCTTTCACAGCTACACTAAATCATTCCAATTACAAGTTTTTTCAATATCAAGCCAAGAAGAGGTGATTATGAAGTATCAGAAATCATGCCTTCCCCTCAGAGTTCCAATGCTGCTTTTGATTTGTGGACCTGAAACAGTCTGTAGCAGAGGTAAAGCACCCCTCGGAAATGTCAAATGCCTTGTGGCCTGCATGACCTTGTTATTACAGTGTTGTTCAACAGCAATATATGTTGATTTCAGCCTAGGCTGTTGTGATCCTATCTGCCTCATTCTTCTCCTTCCAGTCCTTCTCTCCCAAGCGTATGTACCTGTCCATCTCATGGGCCAACTCCAGTATTCCCACAGTTGTGTCAGATTGTCCAGGCAATTAGCCTGGATGGAAATCACTTATGCTTTTCTGTTGGGTCATTTTCAGATCATCCCTCTGAACTACACAAGTTGCATTGTCACTACAAAAAGTCTGAAGTCTGTTCTCTGCCCAGGTTTATATCAAATTAAGTTACCCTAAAACTGCACAGTCACCTTTTATGGACTCCAGGAATCTATGAACCATGGATTAAATACAGTCCTGAAGGCTATGTTGCTGTGATGGATATCACAGGCCTATCCCTTCACCTTAACCAAAGGATCTTTCAAAAATAATTGCTCAGGCTGTCTAAGAAATCAATATATTGTCAGCCTCAGAGTGCTGGGTATAGAAGAAGGGCAGTAAAACCAGTACAACTTACACATTAGTCGTGAAGACACCGTAGATCAGATCTTGTTCAGGAAGGTAGAAGGTGCTTTGCAATTCATTGTAATAGAAAGGGATTTCTCCAGCACGGGAGCAGTTCAGTCTGGCCTTCATGAAGGTTGTCCATGTGTCCTCCAGCAAAAATCGCCCTCCAATATCATTTTTGCAAACCCTTGCCACACGAGAATACACTGTTTTCCCACAGTCATGTTCCACTGCGTTCTCACGGAAGAAGAAGTAGGTGAACAAACCGATGTCATAGGCAGCAATAAAGTTGGGCTCTGAAAAACAAACATTTGAAGAGATTTATACAGGTTAGAAATCAGTCCATGCTCTCTGACTTGCTCACTGCATTGTGCTGCCAGCTCCCCTTATGCAGTCTGTCAAAGCTGGGACCACAAGGAGTTGGAGTTAGCAGAGGACATAAAATAAGTAGATAATAATAGTGATATATGGGGATATAACTCTCATACCTTTTTTCAGATCTTGGAAAGACACCATTGTTTCCCCACTTTATTGGCAAAGCTACTACTGATTTCAGAAAAAGTAGAGTTCAACACTTTGCATATGCACGACTATTCTCTGTGCCTATACTCATTTTACAGCATAAAGCCTTCCCATTGGGCTCCTTCACCTCCTCACTTCTGAAGTGCACCTTATGATGTGTTAAATATGCTGCGTGCATCCGCCCGATTCCCCAGGCTGCTGCACTGAAACCTTCAACCTACTCTCCCAGCACAGTCACATCTGGCTTTTATCATGAAGCCTTTCCAGTTTCTAGGTACAAAAGATTATCTTATGCCCATAAAACAAAACCATGCCACAGACTGGCAGCAGTGAAACAAGCTCTCCTTAATGCATTTTTTCCTAGAATTATTGTTATTATTTTCACAAGAATTGAAAATAACCTGGAATTGGTCTAGTAGGGAATATTTTAATTGGGTATTTAACAAGGCTTTAAAGTGTATAGTCTTTTGTCCTAACAGTTTCTTTGGCAAAGGGAAAAGGTTGGCCAGTGAATAATATTTGACCAAACAGAGAAAAAAACCATGTTGGTTTTATAGGGTGCTTTTACAGTGTTCATTTCTGAGTAATGCTCAAAGGAAGAAGAAAAAAGGGAAGTACAAAATTCCTTTAATGCTGCAGCCCAGGAGTGCAAGAACAGAGTTGTGGCTGAGGGAGAGGCACGCTCTGCTGCTGCAAGGTAGATTTGGGAGGTAGATGATGGTACAGAAGGAAGGGCACTGCAAAGCACCTCTCATCAAACTTTCTCCATGAACCTTACAGCAACTGTTGTGATCACCAATCTGACCTTCTGCCTAACATGAATGAGAGAATTTCACCCTGTAATTCCACCATCGGATCCTGTAACTAACAGGTGAATTAGACCACATCTTTTGAAGGAGATCTGATCTTACTGGACAATGTCACATAGCGTTACATCCATCACTTTCCTCAGCGACTTGTTCAAATGACTAAAGACTGACCCAGCTGCAACCTGTACTTCTTTTCCCATTTGACATTATCTGGTTTCAGCTTCCAATCACAGGTTCTTGTCATGACTTGTCTGCTAGATTAAAGAACTTTATCCTGTCCAAAATCTTCTCTTGATGTAAGTACTTCCATATCATGAACAAAACACCTTTTATCTCCTTTTCAGAAAGATAAATAAATTGAGCTCCTTAAGTCTCTCACTGTGAGGCAGGGTTTTCCAAGCATCAAATCACTGCAAGGCTCTTCTCTGAATCACCTTCAAATTTTCTATTTCTTGTTGAAAAGTGGCCAGAACAGGATGAAATTACTCCGATGTCACCAGTGCTGCACCAGGTTATAAATCCAAGAGACACATTAGTTTTTCCAGTCACATACTAGAACCTCAGTTACCGTTTGTCTTTCTTAAACTCTTACATTGTGGATTCCTTCTGAATCTTGCATTCATGTGCAGGCAAGAGGAACCTATTTCTAATAAGTGTATATCAGCTATGATGCTTCTTGATCCTAATTCACAGTCTTGCCTGATGACATCCTTTTCCTAAAATTCCGTATTTCCATACTGGCTTCACTATGCCAGCAGAAATCTTAGTTCAGTCTCTTTAAGCTCCAGAGAGTGCACAGTCCCACTGCTCTTATCTTTAATTGAAAGGTCCTGAAATCTAATAGAAAGATTCTGAATATCTTGTCATCTTACCTGGGTAAAAGGAGAGAGGGGGAATATTGGGATCTCCATCACTACAGTCTGTAAGACAAGAAGTGCTTTGCCCCAGTCAGAACTGTGTGGACTCAGTGCAGGGATTACTGGTTGAAATTCTATAGCTTGCTTGATGCAGGGTATTATCACACTGGGGTAGGAGCTGCTTTTAATAACTATAAATCCACATCAGCATGAATTCACATGGAACATAATGTGCTGTGAAATTTCTCATTTTTGGACTGATCTTGCACTGAAACCAACCATGTTCAGCTGAGTCAGTGGAAGTAGAGAGTGCTCATCATTCTGCAGAACTGGGTCAAGAATATGATGCTTAAAAAGTTGGTTTTGATCTTCAAATCTTCGAGTGGTTTTCTTGTTAAAATGATATATGTGGTCATCTCACAAGACAGAGACCCATATATATGTTAAGTAACCTGTAAGACCCACTTTCTGTATTCTAAATCAACTTCTCTGAAATACTTTCAGCCTCTTTTTAAATGTCTTCCAAGCTGCATTGATTATTGCACTGGAAGCCCTCCCCCATCATACCTCTGGATCTCAATATGAAGAGAGGGAAAGATTTACAAGCCTGTCAAGCTGACTTTAATACATCTTTTGCTCAGATGTGACCCACATGACTTTACCATTGAGCCATTTGGAGTTGTATTGTGCTGTCCTAAGTGGGGGAACATTTCCAAGGCTGCGGTAAATAGCAGGATCCCGTCCAGAAAAATCAATCACAGTTGCAGCATAGAGTTCTCCTCGTGATGTAATCACAGCTGTCGAGTTATGCCGAGGGTCATATGGGCACCGAGCCACTCCATTAATTCTGTCAATGATTTTGCTGAGATTTCCTACCTGTATTTAAAAGAAAAGAGAACTTAAAGAATATCTGGCTTTCTTACTGATATAGAGAATTCAGTTTACCCATGAGTACCTACAAACAGAACCCTGATTTTAGAAAAACAGGTAGCTGTGAGAATGTAATGTCAGTGATGACTGTAAATTGATCTTTACATCCATCATTTGCCAATATAAGAAGTTGTGTTTCAGCCTCACTGATTCTATTGCTTTGTACAAAGGGTAAATCCCCTGCCAATAAAGCCCCAGCGTGCTCGGTGTAATCAGGTGCTCCCGGTGCTAGCACAGGTTTCTAATCTTCCACAGACACCCCCTGAATACATACTGGCATTAAAAAACATAAAAATAAACATTGCCCTGGGCCTGCTCCTGCCTCTCTTGAAGCCAAAGGGAGTTTTGTCTTTATTTTAAAGGAACTTTTAAGTATTCAGCTCAGGAGGTAGCCACAGCTAAGCTTGTCTATATTCCCCATTTTCAGCACCATACTCAAGGTTACATGAGCAACATTTTGCCCAGATCTAACTTACCCATAAAACAAGCTTTTAGTTCCCCAACTGCAGATACATTCATTGCCCCACAGCAGCCCAAAGGGACCCAAAGAACGAAACCAAAATAATTTCAGGTCAGCTACATTTAGAACATATTCTCTGTAGCCATGATGCCCTGCCAAATGACTGGACTTCCCCAGAGCATGTATCCAGCCCTCTCCATCATTGTAAAAGAGGCAAAACAGACCTGTCGACTGGAACACACTGGTGAAAAGGCGTTGGTACCACAGGTAAAAACCTTCTTGCCATAAACAATCAGCACTCGGACATAGTTCTGGCACTCTTCCTATAGGGACACAAGGCAGAGACAAAGGATTTTTGAAAATTTTATTACATTATAAAAATACCTGTGTTGCAGCTGGAATACACCTTCCCCAGCTCTCACTTGGGCTGAGGTTTGTTGCATCAAGCAGTGCCCAGCTGTAGGGAGCTAGTGGTCTCAGTGAGCAACCCCGATTTGCTGATTATTTCTCTAACCATAGCCCTGCACAGTCCCTGGATAGGATGTTATCCATCAGGTTGACTCTGAGTCTCATAACTACACAAATGGCTCTTTCTGTGCTCTGCTTAGATTGCAAGAGAAATTCTCCCTCTTTCCATGATACTTCTGACCCATTTTCCCAGTAATGCTGCAGCTTTGAAAACATTACCCAGACACAGACTGCAGTGAAGGACAGCAGGTCTGTCTGCACTATAATTCAAACCAATGCCAGCAGAAAAACAGCAGGAACTTCTCTTTAATAGACCAGGCTGGTCAGAAGAATCTCATGCTTGAACAGGCTGCGATTTCCTGCCTCCCTGAGGATTGAGTGCTCAGGATTTTCCATGGCAAAAGGAGTTTCTCTTTAAGGCCGGGCCAGCGAGAAATAGCAAATTCTCTCTTCTCAGTTGCATGATCACTTGCTGGTACAAATAAGCAGCTCCCTCCACGTCAGTCCCCAAAGGTGCAGGGCTCCTGTGGTCCCATGCTGGGGTAGGGGTGGCAGCACAAGGCTGCAGTTGGCATTTTTTCAGAAAATCACCTTTATGTTGTTAGAAAGAGCCATAGTCTCTTTTTCTCCCCACAGCCTCACATCCAGAGACCTGTGGACTGCTAACTGAGCATCGCCTGGAGTTAAGCAGCAGGGGAGAAAGAGGCCACATAAGGTGGGAACTTTCTACCAGTACACACAGGGAAAGGGAGGTGTGAGAGTAGTGTGCAACTCCCACAGGCAGTGCAAGAGGGTCGAGAGCCACCTGCCCCAAGGTTCATCCAAACAGCCCTGACAAGAGATGTGCAGTGAGCCTGGCACAGCCTGCCTGCCTGGCCTCTGGGGCCATCTCAGAAGGAAGGATATGAGGAATAGCTAATGATGGCACCCACTGGGCTCCAAGTGAAGAAAGTCTATTATGCTGTACCATAAACAGAAAAGGAAACTTGTTAAAAAATAACAAACTCGGCTGGGTTATCCTGGCTCCTTTGTTTTTCTCCCTCCAATAGATCATCATTTGCCACTAAGCTGAGCCTACAGCTGCAGACACCACTTCTCCTTCTGTAAGCAGCATTCACTCTGCGAGCTTCCCTGTCTCACAGGGCTCCACGCTGCTGATCATTTCCCTGAAGAGTTCATTTGCAAGTTTCAGCAGTGTAAAAACATCCCCTGGAAAGGAAGGGGCTTGCTTAGCTGTATTATGTGCTATCTTCTTTCATTTGCTCTATGGAAATCAACTTGTTGAAGGATTCAATGCACATCCACCAGTATTAGCCACAGACAAGTGACTGCATGGGCATGACGCGTGGGGCTTGCTTTTGAATGGAGCAGATCACAGGGACTGCACTCCAGAGCCAGCCCAGGAGCACTCACCCAGCCCAGGCAGAAGCTACAGAGTGCCAAAGAGCAGATCCTGCCAGGCTTGAGGCTCAGCAGGGGCATCAGGGGATCAGGCTTGTCACCCAAAAATGAGGCTTAGATTCGTAGCTGAGTCAACTAGGTACTTCCTATTTCAGAAACAGATCAGTCATGGTGACTGTGCATCAGTCTATCAAACAGGACCTTGAGAAGCACTGTCCCACCTGCTGTGTGTTGAGAATAGAGGTCTCATTGCTTCCTTTAACAGACAAAGGGCTTGCCAGCCTCTCTGCCCTCTCCTGTCATTGCTGCATGGTGCTGGGAGCCTGCCATTTACTCCCTGCCTGTAGATGATGTCTGTATCTCATAACTGCTTCAAGTGATTCCTCTTTCTGTACACCACAGTTATTCAATCCCACATTATATTAGGACCACTATACATTTAAATGCAAAATACTAGAAATTCTTGAGTGAATGTTATTACAAAAAATATTACGTACTCTCCCAACAGAGTTTTGTTTTCAGAATATGACTGATTTGGCATCTAACCCAGAATGTAGCTCTGTACTCAAATTTCACACAATAGGAGAGTACCCATCTGCTTCCCTTTCACCTGCACTCTTCCCTGCTTTCTGCAGGGTCTGAGCACAGCTTCTGACCTAAACCAGCTAAAACCATTTATGTTGCTGGACCCTTTCCTGCCTAGCTATTACAATGTATTCCTAATTAAAGCCCTATCCTGCAGAAATCTAAAATCCCAATTTGGAGAATTCTCTTATTTGCACAGAACTGTATTACAGATTAACAAACTTCGTTTTCTATAAAAATCTTCCCAGGTGAGAAGATAGCATACAAAAAGAATTTCTCTGGAAGATCATGTGCTGCAGTCTACTGACAGTGATGTATCTGTTGCACACTTTTACTCTAGGCACGGTAGCCTGGCCTGGTGAGGATGCTGGAAGCTGGTATAATCTTGTGTTATTTTAGCCTAACTATGCACGGCTTTGTTTGCACCCATTCTGTCCAAGGCAGAAGTCATTTACTGAAATAGAGGAAGAAACCATATTGGGCAAAGTATATCTGCTGCTGTCTGAATCTGCTCCAGGATACTTCATCTGTGACTTCCAGCCCATTCCCAACTGCGGCAGCAAAGAGCAAAAGAGCACAGTCAGTATGGGTGAGGTGTCAGACTGGAAACATTGGACAGCTGGTACTTTTCAGGCAACTGGATGCAACAAACCCACTAGCTGGTTTTCATTAGCTGTCAAAGGCAGAAACTGGGGTGACTTGTGGATGTTCTCTGCTCTGCTGAAAAATGATGCTACTAGGTGTGGACCATGTAGTTGTTCCAGTAAATTAACTAATAGGCATTTTCTCTGGACCTGTCTTACTGATGACCATAGCAGTGCTCCATTCTTCTGGAGGAAGAGCAGTGATAATATTCACATTTCATACACCGTTCTCAAAGCTATTTATACACTTAAAGTAAAGAGATGTACATTATGTGCCCTGATCTCTCAGCCAAAACAATGCAGGTGTAAACGTGCTGTGGTGACATGCTGAGTTAGAGGAGCTCCTGAAGGGCAGTCACAGAGGTCTAACTACCAGACCATATCTCTCTAACCTGCCTGGCCCAAAGAGGAATATGGTGCTCATTTCATGTTTCTTGTTGGTCTATCCATTGCCAGTCCTGTCAGTCTGTGAAAGCCTCCAACAAAAGCAAAGAAGAAACCAAACCACTTAAAAGCTCCAGCTTGTGGGATTTTTCTCAAGACACTGTCTGGGAGATTTACATTAGATCCTCTTTCTACCCCAATCTCCAAATAAATAGCAAGGAACAGTCTTCTCTCTGTGTTCTTTAAACCAGCCTGGATTTGCTTTGAAAAGTCATTCAATATGCTGCTCTCTGCAACAATTCATAGCGGAGGCAACCAGTTAGTGAAATGATCTCACAAACCCCTACAGAAAATAGGAGCTATTTAATGCAGTTTCTTCCATGTGGCTGGAAAACTCCAGGCATCCAGGAGGCAAAAGTCAGACGGGCTTTAATATAACCAGAAAATTTGGCAAGTTTGAACCCACCTCTATCCAGACCAGACAATATTTGGATCCTGCTCTCATATTATGGAGCAGACTGTTAAAGCTATGTATGATCAGTCTGCAAATCTCATCACCAGAAGATATTACTGGGATCAAGAGATTAAGGATTTAAATAAAGGGGGAAGACTGCATATTTATATGGTTAATAAGAATACTCAGTTATATTAGTTGGGATTATTATTAAATATATGGCAGAGCTGATAAAAACCTGTGGCCCACTGCCAGGAAATTAAGCATATCTCTGATTTTCCTATGACTTGCATGTTACCCACTTTGAGGTTTTCTCCTCCCTCAAAATTACCTTCTTTGAGATAAGGCCTTAAATTTAGAAAGTATCACTTTTTTTCCAGTCTAATGAGCCTTGTTTTCCTAGAAAGGAACAGTACACGACTTCTAAGGTTCAACACAACAAAGAACAGGATCTCACGGTCAGAACAAGCTTTCCTGAAGTCCCTCCCTCCCACCCCCTCAGTTCAAGCCTATCCTCATTTATGTTATTTTTTGTAACATTTAAGGTTACTGTTCAGTCACTGTCTGTGAATGCTCTATGTCCACGACTGTGGACAGAACCAGGTCTCTTTCTAGCTCACAGAGATGCCAGGCTGCTCTGACAGCACATTTCAAACCTGAGAAGCAGGAGTGGTGCCCTGTTACTGCCTTCAGTCATGTGAACAGATTAGCAAATGGAGGGGCTCACCTAGTGCAGCTTCTGTTTGGAGGTAAAACTCAAAAAGACAATTTCAGGATGCTGTGAATAATCCAGCTGCAGATGCTTCTTAGTCATTTCTTCTGCCCTCTCAGCACAAGAGTTCTAAAAGGTTATAAGCCCTTAATCTCATTGTACAGATGCAGTTTTCTTTGAAAGCATAGCCATATATAGGCACTACCTAAAGTTTTAGGTTGAATAAATCATTCAAGCCCTGTTGTCAGAGATTTCTTTTTGAATTATTTTTTAGGCTAACCCTATTTCATCACATACTGATACATTTTAATCATAGATTAAAACCACAGTTATACACTGCATGAGACAAAGAGCTGTTGCAGATGGTCTGCCATCCTCAGAGAAACACAAACTCCTGGAGTAAAAACTGCAATTCAGAGAATCAGCCAGCAGAACTCCAAGTTCCCCTGCAATGCCACTTCAGAATGCAGCAAACATTTAATTTATCTGTTCCAGTTTATCCCGATTCATTAACAAATAATCAAGACCTAACTTGCTCTCGAGCACTGCTATTAATGCACTTTCAGGTATCTATATTAATTTCCTTGGACAAGCAATTCTGTTACTCAGTTTAAGCCAAGGCCCCAACCAAACTATCTTTCTCCTTTGAGTGCAATAGAAAGCAAAGAGAATTGCTAATGATTTTTCCAGCCAAGTTTTCTTTAATGGACTTTAATCAAACTTAGGGGCTGATTCTATATTGATAGCTTAGCAGAAGTAATAGGAATGTTGGTTCAGGTCTCTAGGAGCAGTTACAAAGGGGGAAAAAATTGCTGACAGCCTCCCAGTTATTTCTATTTGCCTGGGGATTTATATGGTGCCTGTCCTACTTGGACACCTATTATTCTTAAGTGGTGTAGAGTTTCCCAGTTTCAGCCAGATAAGCAGAGAGCACATCCTCTGTGTGACAGAGCCACTTGAATGTCTGAAACAGCTGATTCCTCCATTAGCTCAGCAAGTTCTGCACCAATCTCATTTAGCTGGGCTGAAGCCTTGGGCTAGGATTTTCCTGTAACCTTGTGTGAATCATAAGACCCCACAGCATCAGGACATCATACAGAAAAAGAAGGAAGCTATACTGGCAACACAGTGGGACAAGTGCTAGCTGGATGCCTATCAGACATTTCTCTTATTTCTTTCTTGCTCCAGAAGCGTTATTAGTGCATCATCTTCCTTCTGGCTACACAAAGCTCTTCAGGGAGCACCTAAGAGATGCAATTTTTCACTGTCATTTTCACAAATGGTTTCTTTTCACATTTTAAAATGATGTTGTGCTGCTTTTGGAAGGTTTACAAATAATTTGGTGCTTAAACAAAAGAAAGACTAAAGTTCTCATGTTTAAAAAACCACAACTTTCCATGTCAGGCAAAACTCCTTAGATGTGGTGGATGTGGACTGTTATGCAGAGACAAACCAACTACAAACTAGAAGCTGAGCAACTCCTAATGAAATTAAATATACCTCTTTCCCTTCTGCTCTATCCATCACTCATTTTAACTACAAGCTCTGGATGAGTTCATTTGGAAGACACAAAAACAAGGCACATAACACTGACTTTGTTCTCTCCACTGTCTCTCAGTAATGTGGATGTTTTCCAGGGGATAATTTAAAGGTGCTGATCATGATACATTTTATTAATGCTGCAAAAATAAGAATGATTACTTGTGGAAGCCAGCATGGGTCTCCAGAGACATGGCAAGTAAACAATGTACACTTCTTTGAGGAAACCACAAGTTTTAGTTGATAAAAATAACATAAATGAAAGAGGCCTTTCCAAGGCGTTTGTTTTAATAATGCATGAGATATTGCAGAGAGTTAATTTTAAAATCTGTCTCAGGAACTTATACATTAAGGGATTAAAATCTGATAAATTGCTGGGATGAAAACCGTCCTTAAAGTGAAATCACTCATAAACTTCCTGTTCTAGCAGAGCCCCAGCTGGGGTGGTACCAACCCAGTATTAATTTTTACATTATTTTTCTTAAATAACATTTGTAGATTGCAAACACAGTAATTACCAGTGAAGCCAATGCCTCTCTCCGTATTTAGTGATATATGCCAGGATGGTTGGTGAGCTGGATCCAACAAACAAAATACATTTTTGTAAGATACTATGCATTAAAGAAAAAGGAACAAAAGGGCTTTATGTATAAGCATGGAGATTACATCCCAGGAGTAGTAACTGTGAAAAGGATTTAGTGGTCACAGTGGCCAGGCATTCTGCATGATCTCCTATGGCAGAAGAGCTTACAAAACTGCCATGTATATGAACAGAGGAAGGTGGGAGGCTGTTTTAATCACACTCAGGCATTAGAGAGATTGATAAGAGAATATAGGTGAAAAAATAGAGAAAAAAACCAGACAAAAAATATCCAAGGGCAGTAGAAAAATGACTTAGTGAAAGAGGCTTGTAGAAATCATATTTTTACTTTATCAAAAGGCCTAAGTACTGAATTGACAAGAGAGTATAAGTGCCTCTGTAAAAAATAAATATTGGTAACTAAAGGGCTCTTTAATCTAGCAGAGAAGGGCAAAATGAGACACTGACACTCAAAACTGAAGCCAGATACAAAGAAAAATAAACTACATGTTGTTAAGAGGGAAGGTGATCTGCCATTAGAACAAGCCAGCAAAGCACAGCCAGCCCATTTGCTTCACATCTTCAGTGCAAAACTTTCTGCTTTCTTCAAAAAGCTGCAGCAGGCAAAGACAGGTTACTGAGCTCAGTTTAGGAATAAGCAGGTGAAGTCTGTGGTCAGAGCTATACAAGGCACCAAAAGAAATGGTACCTTCTAACCTTAAATCTGGGACCCAGATTTTTCATCTGCCTTTTCTCCAGAGAATAGGTACTCAAATGTGGAGTATCCATCATGCCATAATAATTACACTTCTGTAATATGAATGTTGTGGCTTTCAATCTTGCACTGCTTATTTTTCTTATGTTACAGCTCTAAGCATTTTAGGAAGAGATTTTCTAAGCAGCAGGAAGAATCTCATTTAGGTACTCAACAGGTACAAGAATGAAGGGGAAAAAGAGACATTTTAATACACCTGGTGGTTTTGAAAGCCTCATCCTAAAATACATATCTTATTAAATAGGCAAGGCAAAATGGACCAGTGATATAACTTCTGAAAACTACACTGTGAATTAACGTAAGAGCGAAAGGTCCTCCTTATTTTTAGCTTCTATTGCCACATATCTAAGTGCCTGACAGTCCATAACATATTTATCATGAAATCATCTGTGCTAGGTAGAAAGATGCCATTAGTCAAGTTTTGACAAAGCAGTGCTGAGGCAGACAGCTCTGCATCTTGTACCACCACTGCATAGCAGAATCAGAAATGTTCACATTTCTGCTGCATTTACCCCGACAAGGGCAGAGATGTTGGGTCAGAGCTGGACTTCTTAGCTGGAGTAGAGCACTTCACCAACTGTCTAGACTAAACTCAGTATTTTTGAGATACTGCTGAGTCATTTCTCTGCAGTGTAGCAAACAATGGAAGTTTAGAGTTGCCCTAAGAGCGACTCAGCTGTGGACACACAGGTTAGAGTAGACGCAGACCTGAGAGATCTGTGTTTGCTTAGCTGCTGCAGAATCCTTCTGCCTTTGTAGGCTTCCTGTAGCTTCCTGCCTTCTTGTCAGACTCTTAGTCAACAACTCTGTTTGTCACTAATTGTATACCAAGAAGTGTCTAACAGTCTGCTTAATTACTGTTCCTCAGAACTTCACCTATAGTCACTGCACCCTGCAAACAATTTCAAGCTCTGTATCTAGATCAGCATAAACTCAGCTGTTCAGAGCATCATCCTTCTGAAATTTTTGTTAAACCCTTTGCAGTGTAAGGAGGCAGCAGTGAAGATATTCAGACCATTGCTTTCTTTTGGCAAGACAGTAACAAAGATAAATTGAAATTATCCTAGAATTTGTTCAGTCAAATGAATGGCTTTATCCAGGGGTTGACAAAATAATTCTGGGTTACAAATTCAAATTCTTCATGAACAATATGATACAACTTAAACCTCACAGACTTTATAATGGAAGAAAAGAGGAAAATAATTTCTTTGCACATTTAAAGTACAAAGGCCATAAACTCAAAAATTCCTCATGTCTTGGGTTCTGGAGTTTGTTAATTTTGTCCTACTTCTTCTTCTTGTGGCTGGCCATGTTTGGTGTTCGCCTAACCCAACCCATTTTGCCTCCGTGATGTTTTACTGCATAAAGTAGATTCCATATGAAATTCTAAGAGATGTTCTAGGATACCCATACTCCTGATCTCCACAGTTACATGAAGCAAATTGTTGCCTATCTGGCAAAATTCAAGCTTTTTTGTGTATATACAAGTTAATACAGTAATCACATAAAGTGTATGATATAAAATGTATATAGTCAATGGAAACCCAGATAATCCTGTGTTTAAAGCAGCGAACTGTAACTTGGCAGATTCCAGCATTCTGGGTCAGCCACACAATCACTCTCTGCCTGACTGTTCATGTTTAAACAAAGACTGTGCTTATCCTGTCTTATCCTTTGTCCAGCTCCTTTGGTTTGGATTGAGATCATTTTGCAGTGCAACATTAAGGACAACAGGACACCCTCGCAGGTGTCACCCTTGAGACCTGAAGATTTTTTAAGAGAACGAACATCACACTTGAAAAATCAAAATATTTCCTGCTTTTAGATAGATGACTTTGTTTTAGCTTCTCAGAGAGAGGCAGAAGGGCCCTGTGGTTGGATCAGAAATGTCTGCAAACTCCAAACTTCTGGGACAGCACGTGTTTGTTCAAGCAATTCTTACTTCAAACTCCAGCTTAGCAGACTTCACCTGCCTCCAAAGCAGCTCTGTGATATTCCACCTGAAGAGACTGCAGTGTGTGAGCAGATTCAGTTCTCAGGTGAACTGTATAATGAACTCTAACTGCAAACATGCACTGAAGCCCACCTGGCTGAATTCCAGGGGCTCGCTGCTGAGCACCCAGACTAAGGCAACCTGCCCAGCCTCAGACCCCATTGCAAGATGCTACCCCTGGATTGCCACCACTCTGCTCCTTGGTGTGTCACAAATAGTGTCCTCTCCAGCAGTGAAATCACCTTTAAATTTCCTGCAGAGCAAGTGTAATAACTTGGACAGGGGGCCTTTGAAATGGCTCGCTCGATGGTGCTTATACACACGTGGTGGTAGAGCTAAACTGCTGCAAATTTACAGGCTCAGGCTGGTGTCAGATGCTCCCTGTGTGGATTTCACATGTTGCAAATATATTTACCCATAACATCATTATACCATTGAAAAATTTACCTCTGTTTTCCCTTTACTTTGACAGGACCTCCTGGTGTCTTCATCTGAACCCCATGCTGTTGCCTGAAAAACCAAAATGCACAAGTCACATAAGAATGCCACTAGCCACCATGACTGGAGACTCCCAAAACAAGAGCAAGCATCTCTAGCCAATTTACACAGCCCAATTTAAAAGCAGCATTGTGACAGTAAACATGTATCTCGCTCCCACTGTGCTCACAGTGCACACAAATGATAAATAGATGAGAAGTCCAGAGGCAGAAGCAACTGGAATGTTCACAGAGGACAGACTTTAATTTACATGTAAATACAACTTCTGATCACCATTCAGCTGGAAGGTCCAAGACATAAAACCCCACACACTGAGTCATCACCTTTTCAAGGAGGACAGTGCTGTATAAAACCACCATCTTTCACCACCAAAACAAAAACATTCCCTACAGCAGAGTCCAGCAGTTCTGCACAAATCTGTTGGTCTTCTTAAATTTACCCCCAAGATTATCACCTTTTAAGTAAACCTGCAGTGAGGCAAGCTGGATAAAACAACTGAGAGCTAGGGAAGCAAGGAGAAAGGTTGATGGACATTTGTGATAACAGAAAAGTAGGGTCAGATCCTGAAATGGAGTAAATCACATCAGTGCTGAGGGCACTATTGACTGGAGTATGAGAACGTGTGGGGTCCCCAGTTGGCTCTGACTGACTGCTTCAGAGCAAGAAAAGTCAAGACGAGAAAAGCTGCATTAGAGAGAACTTTTAGATTTAAAATATTCAGCAGCATACCTAGCCATCCAGTGCCCTCCCCAATTTTCCTCCCTTCAGCACTTTTTAAAAATAGTCCTAACAAATTCAAGCAGGTATAGTTAGCTGGAGGTGAAAATACAAATAAACATCCATACTATACATAATACATCATTCTGAGTACAAGAAAAATAGCTCTGTTACATAAGGAAAGGCCAGTCTCACAAAGTTCAGATACAGATCCAAAGCTCCCCTAACAGAGCCAGGTTTTCTTTATTTTCCTCAGTCCATTACCAACAAAGGAAATGGCTTCAAAGTTTGGTCCGGATCTGAACTCTTCTTGAACCTTCTCACTGCAGCCAATGTATTTTTTAAAACCTGGTCTTTCATAGAAATTGTCCCCTCGACACATGATAAATCCAGCTTTTTTGCTGGAGAGAGTTGGGAAACCACTGAGAAGAGAGGATGAATTTTCCTGCTCCCAGCTCAGGTCCATGAAGGCACTTATTCAGACCTACAAGAAATGCCATCACCCAGGAAATGCATTCATATACAACATTTGGGGAAGGGATATTTCTAACTCCTTTAAAAAAAAAGAAAAAAAGGCATCTCTCCATTAGCTGAGCATTCCATTCAATTTGGCTTGAAGTAAGACTTTATAAGCAGAGTCAAAGATCTGGTCAGAGAAGGGAAGAGCACAGATCTTTCCCTGGGAGTCACTAGGGAAATACCTTCCATGTACCGCAGCCCAATCCAGGCTGAAGGCCAAAAGCTTGTGTTTCAGAAGTGTTTTAGTGAGACCTGGGATAAGTCCTTGCTGGAAAGGATTATTAAGCTGTATCCTGAGAGGGTATATGTCACTGGATGAGAGAGCTCACATAGTAAGCCATCACAGGAGAGCAAGGAATTTTAAATGGTGACTCCTAGGAGCCCTTGACATCTGGAACACAATTGCACAGCAGTTTTGATCCCCAGTCCCAGCTCTAGCCCATATTCACCTAACTACAATATCTTTGCACCTTGGATCATATTTCTGACAATCTTAATACAAAAAAAAAAAAAAAAAGAAGACAAAAAAAAGAAAAAAATTCAGAAAAGAGGTCACATTAGGTGGTCCTTCTTCCCATTTAAAAAAATGGAGACAGAGCTCCATTACAGAGCCCAGTTTACCCTAACAGTGCTTGACAGGACAAAATGAAAACAGAGATTGTTGGTTACTTCAGCAATCGATTCTTCTCCACAATGCTCTGGGTCTTCTGGGGTTACAGCAATGCAACAGAGAAGAATTTGGCCTCCCAGAGGACACCCAGCTCTTCCTGCCAGACACCTGCACCGCAGAACTTCCAGGCATGTTGCAAACACAGTCCACGTCAGAGCACTGCTCTCCTCCAGCTATGTTCTGATGTGCCTAAATGATTTCTTTTATTAGGCACATTGCCCTTCAGCTTTCTGAAGCACTACCTTGATGAGCCTAGTGATAACAGAAGATCTTGGTGATGGCCCAAATTATAGGAACATGTTGCTTGTGACTGCACCATTAGTCAGGGTGCACTTCATTAGAGCTAAGAGGATAATTAGGCAACATGGCAATCCAGAGCACGTTTTATGAGTCCCACACATGTCTTTGGCAGGACAGGGAGGAGTTAGTTTGTGGGCTAAGTAACTCCAATGACCTCTGGTGACTCAAAGAAAATATTCATGACTCTGCAAAGGAGAACATCTTAGCAATAATAAAAGTATAATTGCAAAGCCAAACATCTAATGTGCATTTAAATATTTGTACTGCAAGTTCCACTGACCTACAGCCTAGACAAGTCCTTGTGCTGGGCTCCCAGGGGCCCGCACACATCTGTGGTCAGGGCCTTTGGGTTGCACCTGGGCAGGCTCAGACCTCTGATCTTGGGGCTTTCACATGAGCTTTCCAGCATTGTTTGGTTTCTTTGCTTGACTGATCAGCTGTCTTTTCGGATCAAAATGTCCCACCCTCATCATCTCTGTTGCCTTGGGCTCCTCTGTGCAAACTCCCTGTGTAATGCTGGTGCTCCGCGTCCTCTCACTGGTGTGTCCAACCCAAGCCCCTCCTCCACAGATGAACATATGTTCTTCCTCTGCTTTAGATTCATTTTGCCCCAGCATCAAACTATATCCTGGACATTTGATAGAGAAACTTCCAGAAAGATCTCTCTTCTGGAGTGCATCTGTTCGTACCCATATAGTTCTCAGTGAGGTAGAGACCTACTTAACACTTGCATAACACCACAGCACTGTAGGAGATGCTTTGTACTTTCACCTCCTTACCTGATCATAATGCTTCTCAAAAGCCAGCTTCTTGAACAATGACTTAGATGCCTCCCCTCCCTTTCCTCATTTCCCTCAATAAACCAGATTAATACTTTTTGGGTTTGGTTTTTCTTTTTTTTTCACTGCTGAAACTGCCTCTGCACACTTGCATGAGGTACAAACTGTATCCACCAGATGTTTTTGGTCACTCTGTTGGGTCATCATCCTGAATTTATGATTAATTTTCTCAGTTGTTTGAGACACTTAAGTTTCCCAGCCCGAGAAAACACATCTGGGATTATTTTTATTCCTTCTGCGACACCAGTCAATGAAAAGCAGTAGATATCTCTTGACCCACATGCAATAAGACAACTTTCCTGGCATAGGTCATGGAAACAGAGCAAGGATGAAGATGTGACAAACCTGGAGCAAGGCTACCTACAAATACAGGACAGTATGTGCTGGACATTCTCCAAGCCCTGCTTCCCATGTGCTTAAGCACCTAAGCTGAAACTTTTTTAGGCTATCAGGGTGTCAGCAATTCCTCCCCTTACATCCTTAACAAGAGGTAAAAAAAAAAAAAAAAAGAGGGGTGGGCCAGTGCTTGTGTATTTGTGTGCATTTTTAGGAAGTCGCATGAAGGAGACAATCACAGAGAAGCAGTCCTGTGTACAAGTACACGTACCTGGTGCAACATCGCTCAGCTAGAAATTAACACAAATAGGCCACAACAGCTAAGCTCAGTACATATCTGAATATTCAAATCTCACACCCAGACACAGAAAGAATGAGTTAATGTCTCTCCCAATGCATTATGAGCATCATGGTTTGCTCCCAGTTCAGACTGCAGATCAACAGTGCTCTAGAAATTCGATCTCATCATGTGCTGTCAAATCAGTTATTCAGCACACACTGCTGAGAGAAGCTTTCTAGATACATTTATTTAATTACCAGCACATCCCAGTGTTTTTATTCAAAGTACCTGCCTGTCACTATCGGGTCCTGTTCTCAATAGTTATGTGCATCCTCAACTGTTGCTGCAGAAATCTCTTAGACTTCTATAGACCAGCTTTTACATTCAGGCAAGGAATTTATAATTACTTCCAATACCACATATGAATTTAATAGATTAAGCATACACTAATCCCTTCACTGTACTTGCACAACAGCAGTTGCAAGTTTTTGTGCAAACCCAGAACATTGCTTTAAAACTGGAAAGTTAAGACTGGAAGAGAATATGTAACATGCATATTTATCAGGTAAATTAAACCTGTTGTTAATTTCTAAGGTCTTTTATTACAAACCTATCCATCTGTTACCAATCTCACTCCCATTAAATAAGTGCTCCATGAAAACCACTGGAAGCCTTGCATACCTGCAGACAGAACCACAATCATGTTGTTGTCTCCTATTAGGAGAAAAAAGTATAATACCAGAATGTGCACTGTATATGTTTAAAAGGAGATAAAAACCCCCTCAAGTACAGACTTGTACTTGAGTACTGAAAAAACAAACCTAACCCACCAAAAATCAGGGACTGATTCTGTGAGATGCCAGCATTTTCTAGAAGGTACTGTGTTCCTCAGGTTTCTGCTGTTCTCAGCAAAAGCAGCACCTTGCGTCCCAGGCCCAGATCTGCAGGGATTGCTGATAACAGGAGCTTCCATTTCCATCAACCCTCCCCAGTGCCCACAGGAGACTTCTCAATCTGCCCACGGAATATGAGGTGATTTTGGTTCTCCGCTTGTGCTGTGCTGGGCACCCTGATCAGAGTCTGCCAGTCACATCACCCTTTGCTGAGTTATGCATGAGGAAGGAGGGCAGGAGGTGCTGTGATATGACAGCTATTGTGCACTAGAGACCTGAGCTGGCAGAGTCATTTCTTTCCCTGTGTATTTATTTTCATCTTCCTTTACAGTAACTGTACAAGGTACTAGTATATTTAGAGAAATGTAGCTCTGGAAAAAATAAAAAAGACTTGGTTTGAAAGTATCTTCCTGGATTCCACATGCGGGCCAAAAATCTCTGCATTCCTTGTTTACATT